ACAGATAATGAAAAATGGGTAAAGATACAAAAATAAATAATTACATAAGGGATTAATACTTTTATGAATTCTCCGTCTCTTTAAACCTGAAACAAGACAAAAATTGATTAGATAATTTAAATTCTCTTGGAATGGGCTTGAGATGTCAGAAAAGGTAATGTGAACATGTAAAAAGCAGATTCAAAGCTGAAGGGCGGAACCTTGTTTTGAGAAATATACTCACTTGCATTTTGTACAAGTGTAGAATACAGTCTGACCTTCATCTGCTGAACGTAATTGAAGGGTGGCATAAGACATGGTTTCATTTTTACAAGCAGGGCAGCGTCTCTCTACAACTGGCCCTTCTGGTTCACTATCATTATTCTTCTTTTTACTAGCTCCAGAAGAGTAAATTTCTGTTGATGGCCGTAAGTTGAACTGAATAGTATATGTTGACTCCATTTTGCCAAAGACTGAAAAAAGTATTTTAAGATTAGTGCGCAATACAGGAGATATGATGATGTGTGACCGCCCATGGCACGTTGTGATGACACCCTAATTGGGCAACCTTAAAAGTAATTTATAGATAAAAAGTACTCCCAAAATTTAGTGAAAATTTGAGGCACCTTACAAAATTTAAAGGTGTACTGAGGCTCGAATAAAAGAAATATTGGCATTGTATTTTTAGGTTAACTATACCTTCTGGTCCGAATTCATGTTTACAAGTATAACACCGAACTCCACCAACACCTTGAAGAAGAGGTAAAACCGACCCACAATCGGGGCAAAAGCCTTCGTGACTTTTGAAAAGGGAAGACATCGCTTTACACAACAAATTACTTCAAAAATCAGCCGTACACATGGGCCAAAATACAACACAACAACGTCACGGAAACAAACGAACGCTATGGTATTCTGCTATCTGAATGTGAATGTGAAGCGCAGGTCGTCAGCTTCCGGCCAGGGAGACCGCCAAATTACAATTCCAAGGCTAAAGGGTTTAAACGCTGAATTAAAACTGGCTAACTATGAGTTTTATTGCCTAGACCTCACTCTCCTCCATTTTCTATTCATTGAAACTTGACGCTCATCTCGATCGAGCTTTTTCTCAGATGGACAAAAATTTGGAACTAGAAGTACCGTAGGCGGGCGACGCGGGGAAGACCATGGCAGGACAGGGCCACGAAAAGTTTGATGGAATGTTACGAAAGCGGTGTAGGTGCTGTGTTTCTGCTCAATTAGTGAGGAGAAGCAAACAGCCATTCAACCACTCCACGTAAGTCTTGCTAGTCCCATTGGGCCAAAAGCAGTGATACCTGATCCCGATAATGACTATCATCATGTGAAAAAAGAGTTCAGTTGCTTTGTTCATTCCCTTAGTCATCCATGAACACAAGATATCCTGCATTTCTCATTTCTTGTTCATTCTTAACAAATAAATAAAAAATTAGGTACTTTTGCCTGATCTGGTGTCTGTCAAGGAATCTCTTTCTTCAAATGGGAAGGGTGTAAAAAAGTACATCATAATATTAATAATTCCATTTTCTATTTCATTCATAAATACCAAACATATAGGCTGCTGAATCTTTTAAAAATTTCGTCAAAAGTTTTGCTTACAAAAATATTTGAGATTACTCTTCTACCCTAGATGAGAAATATCCCAATTAATATTTGCCATTTCTATATACAATTACCTATTTGCGTCATTTGTACCTTGACAAGTAGTACATTTCCTACTAAAATTAGCCTATCAAGAGCTTTACCCATAAAATCTATTTTAAGAACAAAGCAACAAAGTCTGAACATTTAACAATTCATGTATGAAAGCAGTAAAAACAATACATAAAAGAGTTTATTCTAAAACTTTAACATGTTTTAATAAAATATGATCAATAAAACTTTTTTTTAGCAAAACAGACTCGATTACAGATGTTTTAAAATTTTTGTTCAAATCTCACAAAACAAGCCACAAAAATACTTCAATTTGAATAGTACTCTAATAGAGTGTTAGATTGCTAGGAAATCCATACCCCGGCAAGAGATGAATAATTACAAGGCTGGTGTGGAGGGATCTAATGTTGCTAATTGTGAGAAATTTTTTAACATATCACAATATATCAGGGCAGAAAAACTGCCTGATATTCAATACAAAAATAGTTGTAGCATCAGTAATACAGCCTCTATAGGGCTTTCTGTTCCCTTTAACACACAATTATTCAGGCACACACTCAAAGACTCACAAGACACACATACAATGCATAAGTTAACAAGGAAGAAAAGGCAAACATGAAGAAAATCACATTTTCTAACCACTAGCACAATTATTCAATGTGGAATGTTCTCAATGGATACTTTTTACATGAGCAAATATGGAAGTGATCCTTTACATTAGGATGGATTAGAAGAACCTCATGAGAGATTTTCAAAGCTTCAATAATCCAGGTCAAGAATGTAATGTGAAATGACAATACTAAACTTAAAAACATTTTGAACAATTTTTGAAAAATATTTCTGAAATACAGTAGAGATTGGCAAATTGATCCTCGTCATTGACCAAATCGGCAGTTCTGGCAAGAATTCTTCTGTGACCAGCACAGAAATCTAGATAATCCAGCTCAACTCCAGACGTCAGTTGAGTAACGTTTTTGTGCTTCCATTTTCTTCACGTAAGCAATAGCTTCCTGCTCACTCATTTTACCCTTCTCCTGTACAACCTTAAGAATGATGTTGTGCACATCCTTAGCCATGCTTCGGGCATCACTGAGGACAAAAAGGAAAAAAGAAGTTAGATTTGAGGATGTTACAATGTGTTAAAAGTGCCTAGAGAACAACAAGAGGATATCCCATCAGTCACTTACCCACACACATAAATGTGTCCATTGTTCTCTCCAAGAACACGCCAGATTTCATCAGCATTCTCATTGAGCTTGTGAGTCACATACACTTTCTTAGCTTGGTCTCGTGAAAAGGCAAGATGGAGCTGCAAACAAAGATGGATGTTTATTTTTATTCAGCTGTATGAAGCACTAATAATTTACAGGGGAAATGAAAGGAACTGACCTTAAGAGCACCCTTCTTTTCATAGCCAGTAAGTTCCTCTTCATAAAGGAAATCTTCAGACCTCTTGCGGCAACCGAAGTAAAGAATAGTTTCTCCAACAGGTTTACCTAGGGATGTGAAAGAAAAGTAGGTTTAACTTAGTGTCACAGCTCACTTCTATGTTAACTTTCACATACTGAAGATCCATGATACAACTAAAAGCACAAGGTTTTGGAAGAATCTTACCTTCATCCATAGCCAAAGAACGTTCCTGGATAAATCCTCGGAATGGAGCAAGACCAGTTCCAGGACCAATCATAATAATAGGTGTTTGAGTTCGGGTAGGCAGCCTGGAATAAGAAGAGACTTTTGAGTCAATCCACACCACATCTCAAATACTTAGGTGGAAGCATGGTAAAAACTTACCTAAACTGAGATTTACGGATAAAAACTGGTACCAAAAGCTTCTTCTCTGGATCTTCAGGTTTCTTCTCCCTAAGCCAAGTTGTTGCAACACCCTTATTGATACGCTTGGTGGGCGTTTCATACTCAACAACTACAGCAGTGACATGAACCTTGGTGGAATAAAGCTGAGTGGAAAAGAGATTAAGAATTAAAATTTCACTAAGATTTGAAGAAGACTATGCTATGTAAAAATAAACAAAATGAACCTTTGGAGATGATGAAATAGAATAGTAACGGCACTGTAAACGCGGCAACAATTCACAAATGTGATCAATTTCAGGTTTGCATGATGGCAAGTCCTCCAGAATGTGGATGATATTTCTGTTATCTTGGTTGATCCACTTCTGGTAAAGGGCTTTTCCCTCAGGTGATGTGCTGGCCATCAAGCGGAGCATCTCTTGTTCCTGCAAACCAAACCAATTACAGGTCATTCGACTCCATTAAAAACTTCATTCAGTGAAAGTAAAGTTTGGAAACTTACTTTGTTGTTCTTGGTGTACTCAGCAAGTTCTTTCAAAACGTGAGTGCGAGGGTTGGATGAGATGTCTAAATAGTAAGTAAGAGCTGTGCGGTAGCTAGTTGGGCACGGGAATGGGTGTTTCTTGCTTGATTCCTCTGCAAGAACATTAACATAATTTTTAGAGCTATGATAAAAGTTTTCAGACCAGAAATGTATTTGGAAAAGAAAACAAATATATACCATCAGTATTAGTCAGAGTGATAATAGTATCCAAATCAGCATCAAGAAGTTTTCCCAACTTGTTTACTAATTCAGCATTATTCACAGGATAAAGAGCAAGATGGTCACCAGCATCATAACGCATCTTAGAGCCTTCAATGTCAAATTCAATATGCATGCAGTGACGATCTCCAGTTTTGTGAAGCTCACGGTTTACCGTTATGTTTGCCAAGAAGGGATTCTTTGCATCAAATGGCCTGAGAGGAAAAAAAAGAAAGAAAAAAAGGGCATTTAATTATCTGATTAATAAAAGAACTGGTTTAAACAGTGTGCCGTAGATATTTTAAAACAAAGTTGTGTGGCGACTTACGGTCTCTGGTTAACAAAACTGTGCAGGCGGGCAACCTCTCCAGAGTAAACACGACCAGGATCAATATCAGAGTGCTCAGTCAACTTGTACTGACGGACACTGACATCCTCACCCAAGGTCTCAATACCAAAGTATTCACACACAGCAGGCCAGAATCCTTCTTTCCAGGTGATGAAATCATCTTCAATACTGTTAAAAATTTATTTTAAGAAAAGCTTTTTTATCAACATTAAATACAGGGAGCAAGTTGAAGTCTCACTTACTTGGCATCATCATCACCCATACCCAACTCATAGACACGAGTGGCTCCCAACTCCTCAAGTCGCTTGTCGACATACTTTGCAACTTCATTGTAATATTCGTAGGTCTTGTTTCCCAAACCAAACACCTGGAAATAGAGGAAAAACTTTAATTAAGTCTTAGTCCGTAAGATAGTGCAAAATCTAAATGAAAACTAAATGAAAACACCACATCACTGCGGCCTTGGGGGAAAAAAAATAAAAAACCCTTCACACACAGCTCAACCCATGGCTAGGCCAGGCTAGGGCCAGGCTATGCCACCTCGTCGGGCCCCGCCGGACAGCCGACGCGCCGCCGCCAACAAGGATCCAGTCAGCTGGTGCGGTGTCGGTGTCCTTGGCCTGTTGGACCAGGAGCGCGCGGGCGCGCGGGCGCCAGACTCTACAGTCCCGTCAGACTAACTCGCGCCGCGGTGAAGCAGAGGAGTCCCACTTGCAGGACCATTTATTTATTGTCTGAGCACCGGGGGG